GCACAAAGGGTCGCTTTGCGGGAGACCGTTAGGGCTCCCGCTCAGGCAAACAGATGTGGTCCCTGCGTAGACCATAAATAAGTGTATTACAAGAATCTTATGTTATTTACCTACACATAGACTTAGTAAAATAAAATCAGTTTTTATACAGAACTCAACGATGAAGGTTGTTTTTCCTTTTTACAGGATACCCTTTCATTTTGGTTATTCGAGCTTTTTTGGTTCCTTGCAGACCAATTACTCTGCAGTTTTCCTTTAACAATGGTAAGAAACTCAGAGAAATTGTGCACCTTAAAGATTCTGTCAAGTGCTAGACCCTTGCAGCTAAAGGTTGCAAATAGATTCACACGATTGTTTTATCCCACCACTGGTAAGAGACAAAAGTCTGAACAAAAAAAAAACAAAAAGATACATATACAAAGAGTCATTTTTTGTTTTTGAACGCACCTTAAAGATTCTGTTTTTATAAACAGCAAAAGGTCGCTACCAATGGAGCGTTTCCGATGGCATAACATCGGATATATAAAACATAACGAGGACGGAAGCTAACTTTGGCAACCCGAAGTTGTAATACCCTTGCAGACATATAAATAGAAAAAATTGATATTTTCACAGCTTTTAACAATTATTCCTATGGAAGCTATAAGATATAGAGGTTTTGAAAGCTCGGAATTTGAGGACAAGATAACCGATTTAGAATTCGACGTTCAAAATATTTTAGATTTTATAGATGAAAGACTTAACGACGAAAAAATCACGTTAACGAAACTATACAGTAAAGGCAGAGGAATTACCTAAGCTGCCAAAAATTAAGATACCGAGTTGCTTTGGTGATTCTAAAGAATGGGATCTGTTTAATGAATTCTTTATGGAACTTATTCATACAAGAGAGGACCTCAGTACCACTCTTAAACTTAATTATCTGGAGTCATCATTGCAATGCATTGGCTGTGGGGTATATGGTCGAATTTTGATTCTTTCATATCCAATGTTGATGTTTTACAGTAAGTTGAGTAACGAGTATGTAAGAATAGTAAGTCCAGTTTCGGTGGGGATTATAAAAATTGCTCCAGGTTTTTTTCAATATTTTTTAACGTCAATGACATATGGTTGTTGTAAGTTTTCCAATATTTCTACCTCTTGGATATCTCTTAAGTCGTTACAGTATATCACTCCTTTGCAAGAGTTTAGCCATCGATGTTCTGATACTTGAATTGGTATGTTGCCAGGTCTTGTGGTGAGCTTGCAGAGTTTTTCATCTTGGATTGGGTTCTTTATTTTAATCAATATATTTCCTTCTCTAGTTTTCTTGCACTCTGAGACTTCTCCACCTAGCCCAGAGTCGATTGGCTTTTTTATTTGATTTTTGAGCGTGAGTCAAATTATCTTTCGAACTGATAAGAGATCTATTCATAGAATTATGCGTAGCTTAACTTCGGGTACTGGAAATACGGCGATCTTTGGCGTCATCAACTGACCAAGACTTTTTACAATGTTGTCCTGAAATGGCATCGGCAATCCGATTCTCCTTGCCGAAATTGCATACAAATTCATAATACTGCTGGAAAGCCTATAAATAATCATCGCGCAAGACCTTGAAAATACATTGCTTTAAACACATTCTTGGGCTCCGGAAATTCTTTTAAGACCTCGAATTCCTTTATGTGTTGTAGCACCATTCTTGATGACTGTAAGCCCCCGAAAACTCACACTTATCCTAAAAGAGCTTTATTTTTGGACTTTTCAAAGAAATGCGTCAGACGTGGCAAGAATTTTTTCACACCCATCCCAAAGGTGTGCTTGCTATCAACCAGAGGTAAAGGTAGAGCAGGAAGAGTTTTTTTAAGGTGGGTCATAAAGCTACGACAAAACTATTTACATCAAAACACGAATCGCCCCGTGAAAACCGTGTCCATTCTGCCTCTCGAGCTGTGGAGTGCATTGCTTAGAAATCTTAGCTTGTCGAGGTGCACGAATGCGGGATTTGGTTCAAAGCCAACACTGGTGGCAAGGAACTGATTGGTACAGGGTAACATAAGTCCAGTCATTGACTTAGATCACCGCGCTGTGTACATCAATTTCGCAAAAGCCCACTCTAAAAATTTTCTTATGTGTTTCGTAATCGTCGAACTCCACTGTCTTAAATCCGAACCACTCCATTATTTTGCTCAACTTTTTGAATAGCCATGATTATCTCTAGATGGTCGTCATTCTGAGATATCTGCTGGTTTGTTTTGATATGTTGGCTCTATTTATGCTATGTTCTTATTTATTGATAGCCAATGATAATACTTTCGGTTTTCTCACATGTTTTCTTCATATTTTTTTTCGTCTGAACAAAAATAACGCTGGTCATTCAAACTTTCATATTTTTCCTTTGGCGAATGATCACTATAATCTTTTTCGCTGCGCTTAGGTGTTCAAGACTTCTATTTAAGCCTATTTCCTACACACTGTTTAAAAGAAATTATCGTGTAATAATAGTCTAGAAGTTCTTCATTCTATTTATTGGCTGCATTCGACGAACATCTGAATTTCAATTACAATATGTCCAAAGCTAGGCGAGTAGTAGAAAATGCATTGGCCATTTAAAGGCAATGTTTCGGTTTATTAGGAAATGTCTTGACAGCCTTTACATGAATAATAATGCAGTCTTTCAAGCCTGTTGCATTTTGCACAACATTTTAAATGACCACAACAGCACTGACCTACGCAAACAGCCAGCCTGCTGAAAAATAGTTGGTTAATTGCTCTCGCAGAATCCACTTCAACATTGTTTGAATTTGTTTTTATAATCCACAGCTGTTTATAGCAGCTGTTATCGGATGGTAGATGATGGATGCGCTTTTTGGGAATCGGACCTTTATGCCGTCTTCCCACAGAGATCCATCCACCATCTACCATCCGCTGAACGGATGGTCCATAAGGTTTTGCCGTTCCAAAAATTCCCAGTTAGTTCCCCATCCAAATTTGACGGACTTTTTTATGCGATAGTTAGGGGGATTTTTAACGGTGCAACTCTGAGTTTGAAAATTGAAACATTCACTACGAAAATTTAAAAAATAATGCCGGGTAACTTTTCAAAAAGAAAGTCGCCATATCAAAAAATGCTGTTTATAATTGTAATAATTAATTAATAACTGATCCATCCGTGTGGCAGGATTAAGAGTTGCTCCACTCTTTCCTAGGCGCATACCGTACTCACAACATAGAGCAGAACACCTTGGAGAACGAGAGTTTGTCCCCAGACTTATATTTGTGGTTTACAATTACTAATAAAATATATTTATTGCAGGTACTAGGGAATACTTTTTGAAGGTCTTAGATGTGGACCCCGCTGACCAGGAAGCTTCTGCAGCGGAAGTCAACGCTCAGGCAGCTCTGCGCCCTCTGCAATGCACGCACAGATGGACCCAAGCTTGTGGCGACAGTGCTCGAGAAAGGCTGGAGGAGCAGAGAGCGCAGACCGAGATCATGTCATTGATCTGAGCTTGGCTGTCTGCCATCCTAGACATTAAAAATAAAATGAAGTATTAAATAAAAATTAAACAAAAAACCAACATTTATAAACAATGAGCTTGATTTGTTACCATTTAGACAATATTGGGCAAAAGCTGTTTTTTTTCTGCAGGCTGGCAAAAAACCTGCCGACATATTAGTTCGATTTGGTTGCTCGCGTAAATGTTATGATCATTTTATATGTTGTGCACAATGCAACGGGCTAAAATTATGAGCCACAGCTGTTCAGATCAGCTGTTATCGGCGATGGATGTGCTGTGAGGGAATCGGAGTTTCGCATTTGTCAAAAATCCCAACCGTTTCGAACGAATGGACTCCATGGGAAGAGGGCTTAACATACGAGGATGGTCCAATAAGTACTCAGCCCCCAAAAAAAAAACGAAAATTTTGGAAAAGTGGCCATTTATTTCTCAACATAACCTCCTTTTAGCTCCATACACTTGACCCAGCGATGCTCAAACTTCTTTAACATGTCTGAAAAATACGTTTTCTCGAGGTCTGCAAAATAGGCCTCTGTGGCGGCGACGACCTCCTCATTTGACTCAAATTTCTGTCCAGCGAGTGACCAAATCTGGAGAATATGGTGGATGGGGTAGCAGTTCGTAGCCCAATTCGACCAATTTGGCCTTGGCGAGGGCGGAAGTGTGAGCCGGTGCGTTGTCATGATGGAAGAGCACTTTTTTCTTTGCCAAATGGGGCCGTATTTTCTGCAATTCGGCGGCGACCGTTTTGCCCTTCTCCAGGTAGTCGATGTAGATCACACCTTGTGAATCCCAAAAAACGGTGGCGATCATTTTTCCGGCCGATGGGACAGTCTTCGCCTTCTTCGGAGCAGGTTCGCCGGGTAAAGTCCACTGTTTCGACTGTTCCTCAGTCTCTGGTGTGTACCAGTGGATCCATGTTTCGTGGACGGTCACGAAACGACGCATGTCACGTTATCCTCCTTGGTAGCCATTTTCGGGGCACCTGGGCGTGGCTCATCAAAAACCGACGTGCGACGGCGTTGAAACTCGTTAAACCAATTTTTGACGGTCGCCATCGATGGAGAAAAGTCACCGTACACAGCATCCAATCGCTCTTTGATTTCGCTGCGCGATTTCCAGTCCAAAAACAAGAATCGAATCACAGACCGATATTGCTCCTTCTCCATTTTTCTAAAATCCGCGGACACGTCCGATTCCAAAAGCAGTCAAAACAAAACTACGATTCCGATTCGGCTGAAATTTCGACAGTAGCCGTCTTCGAGAATGTACTACACGATAGTAAATTTCTCTTGCGATAGAGACGCCATCGGGCGGTGAGGCTAAGTACTTATCGGACTGCCCTCGTATGTCAAAATTCCCAACCGTTTCGAATTTATTATATTTCGAGGTGTGTTATCAGGCGTTCCGTGGGAATATGTTATTCATTTTCTTTAAGTGAATATAAAGTTTCTTTCCAAACGTTTCAAATATTCATAAACTATTATTATTACAATTAGTTCTTAAAAACGAAAGAACGAATTAATGTGCAAATTTTTTCAATAGTGGTTATAAAAAAGTCCCTTTCCTCAATTTACGTATACATTGCTTAATAATTAGTCATTTAGTGGGCTCTATACATTTTTACTTTATTAATAAAGCCTACTCGTCTATATTAAACAAAAAAACATTTAGTTTGCATTTACACATTCATACGCACATATGTTAAGATATTCATTTTAAATTAATGCAGATGTATGTATGCATACACACAGCAATTGAAAAGTACTTCATTTAAAAATAAAAGTAGCTAATCTATTTTAAAAAAGTCCCATATTATCAAAGTTAAAAACAATTATTAAAAAATCAAGAAGAAGACAGATTATGTATCCATATAATCATAAAATCAATTAAAGATAATAAATTTGAGGACATAAACTATCAAATTGACAACACAAGAACCATGCTCAGACAAGTTAAGCCACATCAAGTGATTGTTTATATATTTAAAAAGCATTTAAATAAAACAAGAATTATTAAAGTTCAACATTTCTTAAGAAGACATATGTCTATCAAAAATTAATTCGTTGAAAAATTTTCAAAGTTACTTCGTGCAACTTGGGGGTCTATTCGTGTTAATACAATTATCTTAAAAATCATGAAGTTACTGGAGAGTTCACGTTTCGAGGCAATCAACAACGCACTTTCTATACAAACAAGCGGTATCACTATCTTCGGGCGCATAGAAAGTTACTCATGGTAAGTTTCCTAAAATACATCTAACTTTTTTTAAGTGTTATTTATTATAGCAAAATGGTGGCAGCTGAGAAAGTATTGTATAAACGATTCACAGCAGATACTCATGGACACGACCTTCAGGCGCTATCACCACCCCAAACCTTGACTGACTTTTCCCCTAACTTTCGCCGAAACAACAGCCAGTCTGGAGATGAAGGAATAACTCTTTGTGATACCATCTCCAGAAAGACATTGTTTTATCTAATTGCTACATTAAACGCGTCGTTCGAGCCGGATTACGATTTTTCTGACGCTAAGGTAAATATTGATTATCAGTTAAATTTTTATTGTTAATTCAAAAATTTTTCAAAGTCCCATGAATTTAGCAAAGAGCCTTCATTACAATGGGTTATGAATTCAATTCATTCAAATCTATCCGCATTAGCGGGAGATCAATATCAAGTTTTACGCCAGCCATTATGGTCTGCCGTTGATGACGAAGTAAATTTATCGGAATGTGACATATACAGTTATAATCCAGATCTGAGTAGCGATCCTTTTGGAGAACCAGGCTGTTTGTGGTCGTTTAATTATTTCTTTTACAACAAAAAATTAAAACGTATTGTATTTTTTACAAGTCGAGCAGTAAAGTATGTTCAATTTTCTCTTTCGTTGAAAAACTAGTATTTATTACTAATGTATTTCAGTTCCCTTTATGCTTGTGAAACCTCGGACTTTTCGATGGAAGAAGAGGATGTTTATTGAGAATGAGCTATCGCTTATGTACAACGTTTTTTAATCAAATTCGGATGTTAAACTGTTATCGACTGTTGCCCAAACTCTCTGCTTATGTGTAGCTTCTAACGCTTATCTAAATAACGTACATACATATTATTATAATTTGAATAGCGAAATCTACTTTATATGATCAGCAAAAATTGTAATATAAGAAGAAACAGTAACTATAAGAATGGTAATGCAATTTTATATAAAAAAATAAATAGGTTCGTTCTGACTAAGTCTGGCTATCCTCAACTGGTGGATTTGCGTTTTAATTATTTGTGTGTAATTATTAAAATTTATGTTATTATTGATAAGAAAAAAAGTTTTTATTTTGAAAGGAAATCATTTATCATTTACTCTCTTAAACACCACTGTTTTTATGAAAGCACTGTGCCCCTTTCTGCATGAGATTTACAAACTATTAACGATGAATGATCATACAATCTTTATAAAGGTATTCTTATTTCATTTTGTTTGGTTGTGACACTATAGTTTTTAAAATGTTGATGTATGATTTTGATTTGGTAACATGTGGATTTTTAAATTATCCCGGAAAAGAGATTTTATATCCGCAACCGATCCAAATAAAATTATTTTGGTTCAAAATGATCAGATTTATTTAGATAATCTAGCTGGAGCTGCACCTTGTCTAATGATTATTAATCGAAGCAATGAATGAATTGCAAGCAAGCGGGTCGCTCTTTTTTCTACAAGCGTCTTTTAATTTAAGCACCAGGGCTGCCAGTTTAGCTATTTAGTTGCTAGATCTATTAAATTTGCAACTCTATTTTAAAAAAGTCCCATATTATTAAAGTTAAAAACAATCATTTTTAATTAAAAAGAATAATACGGATTATGTATCCATTTAATCTTAAATTCAATTAAAGTTAATAAATTTGAGGTCATAAACTTGACAACACAAGAACCATGCTGAGCATTTAATTAAAACAAGAATTATCTTAAAAATCATGAAGTTACTGGAGGGTTCACGTTTCGAGGTAATCAACAACGCACTTGCTATACAAACGAGCGGTATCACTATCTTCGGGAGCATATAAAGTTACTCATGGTAAGTTTCCTACAATAGATCTAACTTTTTTATACCCTTGCAGGAGGTATTATAATGTTGGTCAAAAGTGTGCAACGCAGTGCAGGAGATATCTCCGACCTTATAAAGTATATATATTCTTGATCAGGATCGCGTCCTGAGATATAAGCATGTCCGTCTGTCGGATTCTACGCGAACTAGTCTCTCAATTTTAAAGATATCGAATTGAAACTTTGCACACACCCTTCGTTCTTTTTCACGCAGTATCTCTGCGTACACCCCAAAAAAATTTCAAAATCTAACTTTAAACCCTAGCTGTTCGGCCATTTATGCATATATTCAACCCATTCTTTTTTTTAAACCTAATTATAATTTATTGTCTTCATTGACGTATTTTTTTTTTAATTATTCAACAGTGTCTTATATTTTATTTTTAATTATACCCTTGCAGAGGGTATTATAATTTTGGTCAGAAGTTTGTAACGCAGTGAAGGAGACGTTTCCGACCCCATAAAGTATATATATTCTTGATCAGGATCAATAGGGGAGTCGATATAGCCATGTCCGTCTGTCCGTCTGTCCGTCTGTTTCAATACCGTTTGCGAGCTCAGTTTAAAAGCTAGCGATCTGAAACTTTCACAATCGTCCTAAAACATGTGTACGCAGATCAAGTTTGAAAATCGCCCCGATCGGACGTCTATATCCTATAGCTCCCATAGGAACAATTGGATATATCTTGCAAGAATTTATGATATTTCGCGCAGTGTAAAAGCTATTGACATTAATCTTTACAAATCGTATTTTTTTATGCATACCTTGATCAGGGTAAAAGCGCGTGACGATCGGACGTCTATATCCTATAGCTCCCATAGGAACAATAGGGTAAAATCGGTTAAAATTTAATGATTTTTAGGATATTTCGCGCAGTGTAAAAGCTATTGACATAAATCTTTCCAAATCTTATTTTTTTATGCGTACCTTGATCAGGGTAAAAGCGCGTGACGATCGGACGTCTATATCCTATAGCTCCCATAGGAACAATAGGGTAAAATCGGTCCAAATTTGATGTTTTTCAGAATATTTCGCGATGTGTAAAAGCTATTGCTGTACATTTTTTCAAATCGTATTTTTTTATGCATTCCTTCATCAAGGTAAAAGCGCGTGCTGATCGGACGTCTATATCCTATAGCTCCCATAGGAACAATAGGGTGAAATCGTTCCAAATTTGATGATTATCAGAATATTTCGCGCAGTGTGTAAGCTACTATAATAAAATTTTCCAATTCTTATATGCGTAAATATCTTGATTAGGGTAAAAGCGCTTGCCGCTCGGAAGTCTATATCTTAAAGGAGATAGGAAAAATTGTTAAAGGCTGCGAAAGTATCCCTTTTGTATATGACATTTTTGCAGTATAAAAGCAATTGACTTGAAACGATGCAAATCTAGTTTACTTATGTATACCTTATTCCTTTCGCTACTTTTTCACTTTTAGCAATTTCGTCAAAGTCTGCAAGGGTATTAAAACTTCGGCTTGCCGAAGTTAGCTTCCGTCCTCGTTTTAAACTTAACACTACCAAAAAATGTACCCGCAAAAGTCTGCGTACACCTATTTAAAACACAAATAATATTATTTTTAGTAACTGGTAGTGTATCCTTTTCTCTGCAAAACTTCCGTAAGGCGTCTCGGCATGGAATCCACTTTTTTTTTGTCTCATCTGCAGTAATTTTCCCCTACTCCTCGAGAATCACATTCTTGAGCATTTTTCTAGATGTTATCGTGTGTCTTCGGATTTTCCTCCCAAGAAAATCCCACAAATGCTCAATTGGGTTTAGATCAGGACTCTGGGGAGGTGTTCGCAGCTGATTTTTGACGTTATACAGCAGCCAAAGCTTGGTATTCTGTGCCGTGTGCTTCGGGTCGTTGTCTTGTTGGAACCAATATTCACTTTTGAGCCCTAATTTTTCAGCACTTTCTTTTAAATTGCTGTCTAATATGTCAATATAGATTTTTTCATTCATTATTGACTCGATAAATACCAATTTTCCAACGCCACTTGCTGCCATACACCCCCACACCATTATTCCGCTTCCTCCTTGCTTTACTGTGCCAACCAAATTTTCTTTATTAAAGGCTTCTCCGCTTTTCCTACATACCAAAACCTTTCCCTCGATTCCAAATATGCAGAATTTACTTTACCTTATTCCAGAAGTCTTGGTGTTTGGAAATATACTCATTAGTAAAGGTTAGGCGCTTTTGTCTATTGACTTCCGATATGAGAGGTTTTTTGCGGGAGACTCTGCTATGGTAGTCAGCCTTTTTTATGGTCCGGCGTACTGTATCTTCGGAAACTGTTTTGGAAAATCTATCCTCGACCTTAGCTGTGCCTGATGAGCTGTTGTCCTTGGGATTTTTTTTTTTTTTTCGCGGAGTCCCACGGCCCACTTACCCGCCCAACCGACCGAGGGGCGCAGCCGTGTATCGTACGGCACGGTTCGCGATAGGATAGACGCGAGATAGGAAAATAAAGGTAAAGGTCCGGGGAAAAAAGTAATAGTTAGATCAATCTTGTGCCAATGAAGCAAGTATTAATCGTTTTAGGAGCGGCAGAGAGTCAAGATTTGATATTACAGGAAAAAGTCTATTATAGTCAGAACATAATACTCTGAAAGGCTCATGCAAGGCATAGTTAGATCTGCAATGATTTAAAATTAAGGGAATATAATTTCTAGTTAATCTACTTGGCACAGAAAAGTTTAGCCGACTTAACAAGTCGGCGCAGTCAATATCACCATGTATAAGGTTATAAATAAAGATAGTACCAAGCATCGTTCTAAGGTTGGCTAGGGGATGGTAAATTAATCAAAAGAAGTCTACTAGAATAAGAAGGTAAGATAAGATTTGCATCCCAGTTTAGGCGCCGTAAAGCAAAAAGAAGGAAGTTTTTTTGTACAGATTCAATACGACCAATATGTATTCCGTATTGTGGACTCCAGACGGGAGACCCATACTCCAGAATCGGACGGACTAGCGAAATAAATAAAGTTTTAGTCAAATAAGGATCATCGAATTCTTTTGACCACCTTTTAATAAATCCAAGCACTCCTCTGGCTTTATTAACCATGGACGAAATGTGATTAGAAAATTTTAGTTTAGGGTCCAAGAGAACGCCAAGATCGTTTACAAGAGTTATTCTATCCAAAGAGCTGCCACTTAACGTGTAAGTCGCGTATATCGGATTGGCCCGATAAAAAGTCATCAGCTTGCACTTGGAGCCGTTTAAATTTAGCTGAGCTGAATAGATTTGATAAAATCCTCTGCTCGCGGTTTATAAGCAAAGGCGGACGGCCAGAACGAGCCTTTGGCATACTTCCAGCCGAGTTGTAGTTATTTATCACTCTTTGGATGGATGAGTGGGTTCTACCAACTAAAGCACCAATTTCTCTATAAGATTTTCCATCCAAAAAACCTTCTAATATAATTTTCCGCTCCTCAACAGAAATTTCCTTGCTTTTTGTTCCATGTTGCAATATGCTCGTTTTTATAATGAAAGGGTTTCATTTTAACTGCGTAATGTCTATTTTTAGACATTCTAAAGTAGATCGGCGACAACAAAATTAACGGTAATCGCACAATCGTGAATTCCTCGAAGTTGAAAACTGCTGTACGCAGACTTTTGCGCTTACACTTTTTCGTAGTTTTAAGTTTAAAATTAAAAATAAAATATAACCCCCTGTTGAATAATTCTAATATTTTTACGTCAATGAAGACAATAAACTATAGTTTTGTTTAAAAAAATAGTGAATAAAATACATGCATAATTGGCCGAACAATTAAACAATTCAAAGTTTGATTTTGCGATATTTTGGGGGTGTACGCAGAGATATGCGAGTGAGTGTAAGTTGGAACGACCGGGATCGGCCGAGTATATCCTATATCTGCCATATAACTGATTGATGGGAAATGCCATAATTTTGGTGTTTGTTAAGGCAGGCTTGCAACTTTTTTTTTTTTTTTTTGCGGTTTCGGATAGATACATATTTAAATTTTACTGTCCTAAAATTTCAAGTCGAAATCTCTTGAATTACGAAAGTTATCGGCCGTTTGGTGGACCGGTGTCAAGCGCGCGGGTCAGCGTGGGCTCGTGGGTCGACATACATTGTTGCCATTATAGTGCAAATTTTCAAACGCGTTTTTCTCGAAAC